GCATTGTGAGCACTGGTAGTCCTAGTGACTGAAGAGGCTGAGGCAAGAGATTCACTTAGCCCAAGAGTTTGAGGTTGCTATGAGCTGTGACACCACGGCACTCTACCGAGAGTGACAAAGTGAGACTATTCCTTAAAAAAAAAAAAATCCTCAAGGCAGTGGCCCACGTCAGTTAAATTAGTCTCTGGGGGAAGCTTTTATAGTTCCCAGGTAATTCCAATGTGTAGCATCATATTGCCTGGGTGCAGAAACAAGGGTGCTGGAAGGGGCTCCTGACCTGCAGGCAGGTGACCTTGGAATCCTCACTTCCTCGGAGGCTGGGTACCTATTTCCATTTGAAGATCCTCCCCACTGGCTTTTACAGAGCAAGTGTAATTCATCCCAAATTCAGGTGGGCAAAAAACAGGACTTTAATTTCCACAATAACTTCATTTCTGACTCTGAGCACTTATTCTGGCGTATTAAAAAAAAATGAAATGAAACTAGAACCTCAGTGCTGGCTGAGGCTGCTCCCTGCCTTCTCTGGATGGACTGGAGTTTGGGAGGGGAGTTGCCACCTGCCTACTCTATCATCCTTAGCTGTGCAGAACCCTCCCTCCCAGGCCAGGAGACTGTGCAGCTTCAGGGTCATGGTTCCCGCTGGGAATGTTCTTCAGGGCTGCTTGTGTGCTTCAGTTCATTAAGACCCATCTGATTAGTTTCCTTGCCAGTCTTCCCTCCTCTCTGGCAGCTGAGAAGCAGAATGCAGGCCCCTTTGTTCTCTGGCCCAAGAATCATCTCTTTCTCTCACATAACCTTGGCCTTTGGACCAGTTTGCTAGAGTGCTGAGGAAGAAGGAGAAGGTTTACACTTTTGCAAGGGATGTGCTTTGGCAGAAATTATGGCCAGAGCTAAGGCTTTATAACCTTGAGTATTCTAGAAGACTTAAGAAATGCCTACACAGCAAATTCCTGTTTAAATGAAGAGGGCGGCCCAGGGGCCAGGCGAAGTGGCTCACACATGTAATCCTAGCACTCTGGGAGGCCGAGACACGTAGATTGCTTGAGCTCATGAGTTTGAGACCAGCCTGAGCAAGAGCAAGACCCTATCTCTACTAAAAATAGAAAAACTAAAGCAAGAGGATCACTTGAGCCCAAGAGCTAGAGATTGCTATGAGCTGTGACACCACAGCAATCCACCTAGGTCAGTAGGTTGAGACTCTATCTCAAAATAATAATAATAAAATAAATAAATAAAGAGGGCCCAAAGTAGTTCTTTCTCCATCTCAAGTACCTAAGTTATTCTTTTTTTTAATCTTTTTAAAATCATTTTACTCTGTTTATACTACCATAGTCACATTTAAACTGGCAAAACTGTTCTGATGAAAGACAAGATAGACCTGTCATGCAAAGAAAAATAAGTGCAGGTTTTCACAAAGCTTGAAAAGATAGGTACCACAGTAATACAAGGACAGCTGCAGCAGTCTGAGACAACAGCACCAAGGTTTGCAAGTGAGTAGGAACGAAGGCTGCTCCACAGTAGGTGGCCTGAGACCACCGGTGTTTCCTAAGGGGTATTTCCTCATATGCTTGGTAAGCAGATCACATGTAACACAGAGGGATTAGGGTGACACTTCTGCAGAGTAAATTCCTGAGCAGGTTTTACAAAGTTCTTTCACCTGTGACACATGGTTGCTGAATCGGGATTCTGCAAAAGTAATCCCATAAGGCTTGGCGCCTGTGGCTCAAGTGGCTAAGGCACCAGCCACGTACACAAGAGCTGGCAGGTTTGAATCCAGCCCAGGCCTACCAAACAACAATGATGGCTGCAACCATAATAGCTGGGCGTTGTGGTGGGTGCCTGTAGTCCCAGCTGCTTGGGAGGCAGAGGCAGGAGAATCTCTTGAGCCCAGGATTTGGAGGTTACTGTGAGCTGTGATGCTACGGCACTCTACTCAGGGCGACAGCTTGAGGCTCTGTCTCAAAAAAAAAAGTAATCCCATAGACACCCAGGTAAATTTTACAATCAATGAAATTCTTTCTTTCTTTTTTTTTTTTTTTTTGAGACAGAGCCTCAAGCTGTCTGCCTGGGTAGAGTATTGTGGCATCACAGATCACAGCAACCTCCAACTCCTGGCCTCAAGCGATTCTTTTGCCTCTGCCTCCTTAGTAGCTGGGATTACAGGCGCCTGCCATAATGCCTAGCTATTTTTTAGTTGCAGATGTCATTGTTGTTTGGTGGGCCCAGGCTGGATTCAAACCTGCCAGCTCAGGTGTATATGGCTGGCGCCTTAGCTGTTTGAGCCACAGGCACTAAGCCTACAATCAGTGAAATTCTTAGGCCCCAAAGTAAATAGCCACCCAAATCAAACTTACACACTGTGAATTAAAAGGAAGCCAGTGTAAGGGTTTCCAAAACAACCAGAGCAAGAAAGCTTATTCAAAAAGAAGATCCTCGTACTTCTCTTCAGCCACAGATGAGCAGGCTTAATCACCTCTCCAGCTGCTCCCCATTGTTCAGAGCCCTCATCTTTTTCCTTGAGAATATTCTTTTTTTTTTTTTTTTTTTTTTTTGAGACAGAGTCTCACTGTTGCTCTTAGTAGAGTACCATGGTGTCACAGCTCACAGCAAACTCAAACTCTTGGGCTTAAGCAATTCTCTTGCCTCAGCCTCCCAAGAAGCTGGGACCATAGGCCCCTGCCACAACGCCCAGCTATTTTTTGTTGTTGTTGTTGTTGTTGTTGTTGTTGCAGGTGCCATTGTTGTTTAGCTGGCCCAGGCTGGGTTCAAATCCACCAGCCTTGGTGTATGTGGCCAGTGCCCTACCTGCTGAGCTATGTCTTGTATATTCTTTGACCTATAGAATGTTTCTCCCTCCTTCTCATGCAGCTCTGTGATAATAGAAGCAGGGTATGTTCAGTCTGGGGAATGATGACATGTTTGATGGCATTTACATACTTGTTGGTTATCTTTTTTTTTTTTTTGAGACAGAGCCTCAAGCTGTCCCCCTGGGTAGAATACTGTGGCATCACAGCTCACAGCAACCTCCAACTCCTGTGCTCAAGCGATTCTCTTGCCTCCGCCTCCCAAGTAGCTAGGACTATAGGCACCCGCCACAGCGCCCAGCTATTTTTTGGTTGTAGCCATCATTGTTTGGCAGGCACGGGCTGGATTTGAATCCACCAGCTTAGATGTATGTGGCTGGCGCTCCAGCCCCTTGAGCCACAGGTGCCGAGCCCCCTATTGGCTATCTTAATAGCTTCATCCAAAGTAGCAAACGAAGTCTATAGCAAAGCCAGTTCCACCAGTAGTTCTACTGCTTTGGCATAATTCCTCCTTCATTTAGCCAATTGTTCCCCACCTCTGGCTAAACCAGTCCCTTCATAACTGTCACTTCTTTCATGGTAATGTTCCAATGCTAGCAAAGCAACACCTGCTACATTGTCTTTCTTCCCTCAGATTTTCACTTGAACTTCATTTACATTTTGGATAACTGTGATGCTGAAGTCCCCTGCTATGAAGTCCTCTCAGCTAGTGAAAAGTCTGCTACTTTCATCACTTTTCCCATCAACATTTTAGTCTCTATTATCTTCTTCATGATCTGTCAATATCAAAGAGTTAAGGCATCAGATTTTTCTTCAGGAGGTTTCAACCTGTGTGTGTTCCTTTTAAATGAGTCTTCATGATGGTCTATGCGATTCTTGAGGGAAAGATTTCATTCAGTCTTTGCCCAACATTCTGACGATCTAAAGTCCCCAACTGGAGACTGCCATGGTGGCTCACACCTGTAATCCCAATACTCTGGGAGGCCAAGGCAGGTGGATGCCCTAAGCTCATAGGTTCAAGACCAGCCTGAGCCAGAGCAAGACCCAGTCTCTAAAAATAGCCAGGTGTTGTTGGCCGATGCCTGTAGTCCCAGCTACTTGGGAGGCTGAGGCAAGAGAACTGCTTGAGCCCAAAAGTTTGAGGTTGCTGTGAGCTGTGACACCACAACAATCTGTGAGCGTGACAAAGTGAGACTATCTGCAAAAAAAAAATAAAATGAAGACCCCAACTAAGTGATTGTGGCTGCCACAGCTCCAGTACTGGCTGCCCCGGAGACTTTCTCTGTAAGACTCAGCAGGTTGTGTCGCTTTACTCCTCATGCTGTAAAGTGGCAGCAGGCAAACTTGTGTTTAATTTCTGCCTCCGTTGTCACAGGAGAGCACCTAAGTTATTCATAGGACAGTGGCAGGGCCCCAGAGGTGATTACCCAGGAGCCTACTACTTTGAAACAAAATTCAAAAGTCATTGAACATCAGATGGAGGACCAGACAAACAGATATATCCACACACGGTACCTTAAGACATGTGTCACCAACATCAAATAAACATGAAACCTGGGAGAGGGAGTAGCTGGAGAGTTTCTGTTCAGTCTTCATCCTTGAGTGAAAATTAATAGCAGAGTATGAATTGCTTCTGGTTCATCAGTTCTTAAGATATGTGAAATGATATTGCCACCATCTTTATTTAAATAAAACTTTTTTGTTGTATTTTAATGAATATAAAAACATCTCGGCTCGGCGCCTGTGGCTCAGGCGGCTGAGGCGCCAGCCACATACACCTAAGGTGGCGGGTTCGAATCCCCAGCCCAGGCCCGCCAAACAACAGTGATGGCTGCAACCAAAAAATGGCCAGGCGTTGTGGCGGGCGCCTGTAGTCCCAGCTACTTGGGAGGCTGAGGCAGGAGACTCGCTTGAGCCCAGCAGTTGGAGGTTGCTGTGAGCGTGATACTATGGCACTCTACCCAGGGGGGATAGCTTGAGGCTCCGTCTCAAAAAAAAAAAAAAAAACATCTCTATGAGTTTTCACACATTCAAGCCCAATCTTAGTCCTCTAGCACCATTTTTTCAGTAAAATTTTACAGTCTTCAAGTATAAAAATTTAAGTATTAGAAACCTAATCTGACAGATGGGGAGGGAAGGACTATGGTGAAGCCTAAAAGAAAATTGCAGCTATTGACATTGACATTGCAGAGTGAGATGCCAATAGCATCTTACTGTTGTAAGAGTAGAGGTTTGTCCCCTACCCCAAGCATGGCCACAACTCCAGCCCTAAGTGAGGAAAACCAGCAGGCACCAGATGCCAGCTGGTCACTGAAGAGAGGACAGAGACAGAGGCACCAGCTAGGTCACTAGACAGGAGCAAGGGAGAACAGATGCCCCAGCCAGGCCCTGGGGAAGGAATACTAGCGCCATTTCAGCACCGTGCCCTGTTAGTTGTCAGAGTGAGGGTACCTTGTGGGTGTGACCAACTCAGGGAACATACGGGAGATAGTCATCCTTGAGTGAAGGAGCTGAAGTCTATAAGGTACTTCACTGGGCTGGATTGTTCTGGCTTGTAGGGTGAATCTGAGCCATGAGCTGTGGGCTTGGGGGATGGGAGCTGGGCAGGGGAGGCTGAGAAAAAGGAGTTTGGCTGGCCTGTCTGTGGCCTTATGAAATGGCCAAGCACCTAAAAAAGGGATTTCTGTATTTTAAAATTAGAGGTTTATAATTGGTGAATATAGTAGTACCACCATTTTGAAAGGCACTTCCTGAAGGTAAAATAGAGTATGTTTTTCATGGGTAGGGAATAGAAGTTAGGTGATTAATCTTCAGCCAAAATGAAGATTGGCAAAACAGCCTCATGTCTGCAGAATCACTTTCCAGATTACATAGCATTCCATGACAATGGTGCTGCCAGTATGGGCCCAGAGTCATGCAAGCCCCAGCGAGTGATGGCACTCAAATACACTGCTGGCCTTGATCCAGTGAAGTCAGTGCAGTCATTTCTTTTAGAATGAGGGCTATATGAGGACATGGGGTGTCCACATATTCCCTCCTAAAAATGTTTTGGTGTCCCTGTAGATTTAGGTGCATTGAGCAATCTCTGTAGAAGGCATCCTCAAACTACAGCCTGTGGGCCACATGTGGCCTGCCAAGGACATTTATCTGGCCCGCCAGGTGTTTTTGCCACCGCTACCTGTCCTGTTTAGCAGCCGACTCATCCCAGGGCCTGCAGTCTGGCCCACCAATGGTCTGAGGGACAGTGAACTGGCCATCTGTTTAAAAAGTTTGAGGACCCCCGCTCTGCAGGAGTGGCCTTTGGTTCCTTCTTTTCTCCTACTTCCTGATTGACTTCCTTTCTTCTTCTTTCAGGCTTTATTTACCTTCCTATCATTTGCTCAAGAAACAAATGATAAGGAAGATGCAGTAAGGATATAGGGATGGATAAGTCTGATGCCCTGTCCCCCAGGGATTCACAGTCCAGTAAGTAGGTGAGAGAGATACCTAGACTAGTCAGTAGCCATTCATTCATTAGTAAGAAGTAAGCATCCCTTGGCCGGGCACGGTGGCTCACGCCTATAATCCTAGCACTCTGGGAGGCCAAGGCAGTTGGATTGTCCTGAGCTCACACGTTCAAGACCAGCCTGAGCAAGAGTGAGACCTCGTTTCTAAAAAAAAAAAATAGCTGGGTGTTGTGGTGGGCACCTGTAATCCCAGCTGCTTGGTGAGGCCGAGGCAAGAGAATCTCTTGAGCCCAAGAGTTTGAGGTTGCTGTGAGCTATGATACCATGGCACTCTACCAAGGGTAAAAAAGTGAGACTCGGTCTCAAAAAGTAAGCATCCCAAAGTGGTGTGTACTGGCAGGAGTCCTAGATACAGTGCTGAGTGTGTTCAGCAGATGACTGCTCAGCAGGGGCATCAGGGAAGGCTCTATGGAGGAGAAAGTAACTGATATCTATAACACCTGCTTTCCGCAGTCCTGGGCTGGCTGCTTCAGTTCTGGTGTGTAGAAGCAGGTGGTGAGATCCCTATTTGACAAAGGCTCATTCTTACTCTGACTCCACTGTTGCTAACTTACTGCTCCTTCATAAACTCTTTAAAGTTATATATAGCAATGAAGACTTCAGGAGCCCTACCTGCCATAACCCATGCCCCCATGGAAAAGATCTTGGGGTCTAGAGAGAGACCCGGTTTGAATCTCAGCTCTCTGCCACTCTCAGAGTGTCCATGAATAGGCTTTGGGGGACAACAGCCAAAAAATCCTTGTAAGGATTAGGTGAATAACATGTGACAGTATCTAGCATGGTGCCTAGAAATATTCATTTACTATCATTCTCCTAAATTTCCTTCAAAGTGTAGGTTGGCTTTTAATTTTCCCCATGTTTTAGTATTTAAAATCACTTAGGATGATACCAAATAAGGCTGAAGTGGTCGTGACCAGGAATGGTTAGGAGTCAGATGGTTTGATATAACCGTGTTCACATTAATGGTGTTGCCTTTCTCTGCAGTAGCCAGGATTGCCTTGACCAAAGCTCCCTCTTATGTTTCCCAATTATTCGTTAATTTTTTTTTTCTTATAGAAGAACTACCAGATGCTGTTCTTGAATCTGATGATGATGAAGAAGAAGATGATGAAGTAAGTCAGATGCTTTTCACACCACATAGGAAACTTACATCACACTATTTTTGAGTCTCTTCCTTGCCTTGGTTAAGGAAGTGGAGATTTTTAATTTCTGCTGCATTATTCTCAGAGTTCTGTGGGTTGCTTAAAGCTCCACTGAGCGGTGCTGGCTGTCACCCCCAGAGCCCTACTCTGTAGGGTAGGCTAGCCTGGGCTTCCTGTAGGCTAGTGGCTAGGTTCCCAAAGAAAGGAAGTGAAAGCTTCTAAACTCGTCTGGCTCAGAAGTCTCAGAAAATCACTTCTGCTACATTCTGCTCAAGGGACATCATAAGGCCGGTCTAGACTGGGGGATGGAGATGAGACTTTGCAGGACTAATAGGAATTATAGCAGGGTAAAGGGTGAGTGGATTTAGTGGCCATATTTGAAGCCTTCACACTTCAGGGGTCTCACTGAAGGTAGCAAAGATGAGCATTGCATATCATTTGGATTTTATGGGAAGTCAAAAGGTTCTTTGGTGTGAGTTTTTGGCTTTGAAGGGCCATGAGCTTCCACCTGTCACCCTGTGGAATGCCTGACATGGAGGCTCGCAGTGAGCATCTCTGGGGTATGGGTCCTGGGTTTGGTTCTGAGCTGACCGCACTGATCACTTTACTCTGTTATTTGCATCCTTTTGAGAAGGATTTCCTCAGGTCTGAGAAATCCGGCTGCCTGGTGTTTCGGAGTGTTATGGTTCAGAAGTTAATGCACATGAATCTCTGTAAAATGGTGTAAAGAATGGTAACTTGTGACAGTAGATGAGTTTTCAGATGACAGAGGTTTTTGTTTTGCTTTTCCTTCAGAAACCCAGAAAGAACAGAACAGACCTGTTGCCTGGTGAATATGATTTGGCTTCCTCCATTCTGGGAAGCAGTGACTCCTGCAATGGATGTGGCAGGATTGTATTTGGAGTTTAGTATGTGGGTTAAAAAAAATGTGTATAAGCCAGGTTTTTAATCATTAGTAGGACCAGCTGGAGGAGATAGTTATTTAAGAGCCCTGCCAGAAAGGACATGCTGTGATCTGTGAAGTGATTTTTCCTCAGCAGGCTGCTGTTTTGCCCATCGTTTTCGTCATGGGCTGCAGGTGGCACCAGTGAGCGCTTCTGCTGGCTCCTCCTGCCTTGTCAACTGTGCAGGACTTGACTTGCAGACAGAGATCCTGGCCATCATCTTCTCAGGCCCTTTTGTTTTCAAAGGTAGATCCAGAGGAGAAATGCACCAGCCTAAGTTACACAGAGTTGATGGGGTAAAATCTGGTTTAGAGCAGAGGTCAGCAGACTGTTTCTGTAAAGGGGAAGATAGTGAATACCTTCAGTGAATACCATTCAGTCCCTATTTCAACCACTCACTTCTGCCATTGGAACACAAGGTAGCTATCCATATAGTACATTAATGGATGGGTGGAAAAACTATGGAAAACGATCATTCTGCCAGGCACAGTGGCTCACACCTATAATCCTAACAATATGGGAGTCTGAGGTGGGTGGATTGCTTGCACTCAGGACTTCAAGACCAGCCTAAGCAAAAGTGAGACCCCAGCTCTACTAAAAAAAAAAAAAAAAAGAAAAAGAAAAGAAAAAAACCTATCTGGGTGTGCTGGCAAGCACCTGTCTGTAGTCCTAGCTACTTAGGAGACTAAGGCAAGAGGATTACCTGAACTCAAGAGTTGGAGGTTGCTGTGAGTACAATGACACCATGGCACTCAACCTAGAGTGACAGAGCAAGACTCTTGT